TTTTTGGGGGGGGAGGGGGGGGATTTTCCAAATAACCCCATAAGTTTAGATATATGTCAAAATGTCCCTAAAAGATATGGGCACAGTGGCATGGCTGGTTGGTGCTGGTTGTGCTGTCCCCAAAAGAACGGTGCTGGGTGGTGCTGGTTGTGCTGTCCTGTAACCTGCTGTCGGCTGGAGCAGGAGGCCTGCTAGAGAGATCTGGGAAATTGCTTTGGGGGGGCATTCCAGTGGCTAACCGGGGGTCGTTGGCAGGACGACGCCGGCCGGAGCTGGGGCGGGTATGTTGCCCTGTAAGCTAGCATGTTGGGGGTGTGAGTCCTGGTCGATATTGAGAACATGGCAGCTTTAGTGGGCTTCGTCTTGGCCTGTTGGGTAACACTAGGGTATCTTGGTATTTGGTATGTTTCCTGTGGATTTTGTGAATAGTTCAGTACTCTCATGAATACTCTTGTCATTCTCAGCTGAAGCTGGGTAATAATGGCTTCGGTATCTCAAATTGTTCTGTATATTTCTATATGCGGCACTGGGCTCGGTTCCCAGTACGTGCTGCTCCCCTCAAATAGATTGGATCACTGTTCACACACACACACACACACACACACACAAAAAAAAAAAAAAAAAAAACAAAAAAAAAAAACACCGTTAGCATGAGGCTAGAGAGGAAAGATGCACGAATCCAATTGATCTATTAGTATTTTACTATTTTCACTACATATATTCCACGGAATTTCCACCTCTTGTATAATCTGGGCATGCATATACACACCTGGCGTTGGATATCGTCGGAACCAAAGATGGGCTCCAGATCTAGCCACTTCGCCTGGCAAGCAAGCCAACTGTCCAGCACTTGCTGTACATGGATAAGCTGTCCTTCCCAACTTCAGTTTACAGATGGTAAACAGCACGGTTACCACACAAAAAAAAGAAAAAAAAAAGAAAAAAGTTGATTAGCTCTTTCTTTTTTTTCTTTTTTTTCTTTTTTTTATTAGCTCTTTCTTTTTCACTACATATTCTTGTGGGAAGTTGTGGGAGAGATTAAAAAAATATATATTGTGTTGGACGAAAGATTGAACTCGGGATCAGTGGGTCTCTTTTTCGAGGCATGATCCTGGATGGAGCTACCTCCACCAAAGGGAGTGTGGGGTCACTCACATGTTGCCATGGTCGATGTGGGACATACCTGCAGTAGTCAAAGCTAGGAGGATACCATGATCAGGTTCTGTGCTTCAGACTCTTTCAGAGTATGGAATGATGGCTTCGCCTTCTGTGATATATTCGTTAAAATCTTGTGAAACTCGACTTTGAGAGAGAATTTTCCTGTCCAACGTTCGTTTTTTTGTTGAATTGAGCGTGTGTGAATATTTACGTTCCTCCGGGGAACCTCTTGGTGTACTCCGTTTGATGTACGTAAATTCAGGACAAAGGGCAGGACTTGAGATTCTTCCCTTTGCGATGGAGGAGTGTGGCTATCGCGAAACCCACTTCCAGTTGTTTTGCAATGAACTGCATTTTCGTTAAAATTGACTTTTTTTTTTCCTGTTTCCCAATTTGTACTGGAATGACCTGAAAAAGGTCATTTGGCCTGTCCTGTAAGGGCCATTTTTTGGGATGAGTGATCGTCGATGAATGAGACAGTCATCTTTCTCTCCTCTGTTTTTTTTCCTTTCCTTTTTTTTCTTCTTTTTTGGGGACCACAATTCATCATCTTCCACCTCAAAAACGAAAAAAGAAAACAAAAAAGGAGAAAAAGATGAGTGGAAGTCTCGACAATGATCGCTCCTCCCGAAAAATAGCCCTTACTGGATAGGCCAAACTCTCTCTTGAGGTCACTCCAGTACAAATTGTGAAACAGGAAAAAAACTCAAGTTAAAGGGAAACACAATTGATGGTTTGAGGGTGATATCATCCTCCTCTCAAGCAAATAGTCTGCCTCAGTGCGGTGTGTATTCGTTAAACGGTTCAATATCCCAAGGACATGTGTGTGTGGGTGTGTGGGTGTGTGG